ACTCTCCAGTTTTGGCCGCAGGCCCAGTAGCTCTGCGGCAACTGGGATCTTAGTTTTCTGTCCAGGGATCGAACCCGAGTCCTCTGCATCCAAAGGCTGATTCTTAACCACTGGACCACCAGGGAAGTCCCTCTTATGACTTTACAAATGAATCATCATTTTGCTGCTGAATGCCTGAGTCAGTGTGAGTGGAGGCAGGCAGACGTGACGGGGTTTAATGCATCAGATACAAAAGGTGGGGGAATCCTCATGGAATGGTCCAGTACTTCAAGTCTGGCGACATTTGAAGAGGAGACGATCACACCAGCAGGCCTCCAGATGCAGAAGGGAAGTCAGATGGAGTTGCTATGCTAGAGAGACGCCTGGTTGGTGCAGGAAGTAGGAGATGGAGAAGAAATGCCCGCATCTTATTTTTCTTCCTCTCCAATCCCAGCCAATGCCTCGCACTGGCCAAACTCATTTACAAATCAGGGGGCAAGGATGCCCGGTGAAGCATTTGCTGTTAAAACAGGAGAGGAAGGGCGGAGAACAACATGAAGAGACAGCTGAAGAATTGACAACTCCAGGTATGTGTGGATTTGTAAGAGGTATACATTCCTCAACTCATTTTCTCCACTTGATTCCTGGGTGTGTGGAGCGTCTGTAATCTGTGAACTTTTGAGTCCATTTCCACTCATAAATGCGCTTGATGGTTTCAGAATCTTCACGCCAATAACACATCAGTCACTGAGGTGTATCAAGGAAGGGGTGAGGGACAGAAGACCACGTTTGAGGGTCTCTGAATGACAGTATTGGTGTGAAGGTCAGATACTAGTGACTTTCAAAATCCACGAAGTGAAAGTTCAAAGCTTATGTACATCGTGAAGTAGAATATTTGAAGGCAGACTACAATAAAGATGCACACTGTAATTCTAGAAATGGTGCCAAAGACCTTCCCACAAAGATAAAAATGGTCTATATGTGTGTTGTTCAGTTGATAGTCATTTGCCACTTACAGTGCAGCCCTAGAATTTAAGGGCAAGTAGAAATCTTAAAAATGAAAAAGTGGAATTTTCCTGATGCGAAAAGGAAATGTACCCTCCCTGACTCCCCTTTAGAAAACTTGTCATTGTTAAATTGATCTTTTAAAAAACTAAATGAGCCTCTTGCCAGCTTTATAAGCAGGGATATCTTTCTCAAGGACTCGGGAACCATCTCTTTGAACATCAAGGAAGTAAGGACCCTTTTCTCTCTTTCTCTATGGGTGTGTGCGCTGTCACTTCAGTCCTGTCTGACTCTTTGCGACCCTATGGACTATAGCCCACCAGGCTCCTCTGTCCATGGGATTCTCCAGGCAATAATACTGGAGTGGGTTGCCATGCCCTCCTCCAGGGCATCTTCCCGACCCAGGGATCAAACCCTTGTCTCCGCCATCTGCCCGTACTCGCAGGTGGGTTCTTTTTATCACTTTTTATCACCACCAGGTGCCTGGCTCCAAATTGTAACTACCTGCCATAGATATTAGAAGTTTTATTTCTTTGGATAAAGGTAATCAACAAACACAATGGCCACCTCAGTTATCAGCTGAATGTAAGATGAGCTGTGTATGAAAACGGTGCTGGTAAGCCTTGCTTGAGGACAACCTATCGTTTATTTTGTGAACAAGTAGGTAATCAGTTGTGTCTGCCTGGTGAAGATTTCTTTCCATCTTTGCAGGTTCCTTATGGGTTGCCTGTGACGCTCATCACATTTTGACTTGGCGCTTATTCAATCATAAAACTGTTTTCTATTTTTGTGACAGTTTTTCTAGGTGGGCAGGAGATTTTGGTTTTAATTAGATTTCCACAAGAGCAACCGGTTATTAAATAAACACAAGGAAGTATAGTTGAAAGGTGAGTAGAACCATGAGTGGAATTCTAGAACACGCAGCACACAAAAGGCAGAAAAGAGGCAAAGAAATATAAGGACAGACGGGACCAAGGGAAAGCAAAGACCACGATGGAAGGTTTAAAGTCATCCATGTGAATAACTGCTGTTAAGTAGATTAAAATTTCCCCTAAGAAAGCAAGATCTACCTGTATGATATTTACAAGAATCACACATTAGAAATATAAAGGCATAGGCAGGGTTAGAGTAGGATTAAAAAAAAAATGTACCATGCTAACAGTAGGCATCAGAAAGCTGGTGTGGTGATGTTAATATTAGGAAAGGTAGATTCAAGACAAAAAATATAACCAGAGAAAATACTTTCTATGAGTCAGTTCTTTGGAAAGACAATAATTCTAAATGTATTTGTATCTAATAACACAGGTGTAACAAGTTTCAAGGTATTATATGAAATAGAAAGAAATAAAGAGGAAACTCCGGGAAAACCACCATCAATTGGTGACTGTAACTTTCCTCTCTCAACAATTAATGGAAAAAGTAGACAAAAAAAATCAATAATCATACTGAGGATTTTAGATACACCAATATAGTGAAACTGAGAAATCTGTGTTAAGGAATATTTAACTGATAGTTGTTATGTGAAAATGCCTCATTTCTAGATGACACTTGATAAGCAATGTTTACTGTATAAATTTTGATGTCATGGTGATTGGCATATGTCTGTAGTGTTTCATGAAATCAATGAAGAATTGCTCCCATGTATCACTTGGAATAGGAGTCTGGGGGTGACACCAGAGCAGGCTTCACACTTTAGGGTGTGTTGACACACCTGTGTTAGGAAATGCTTACTGATGTGACACTTCAGTATAGGCAGAAACTCACCTTTTCTCTTGTAACCAAAAGCAATTAAAACAGCCTCTCTACAATGGTTGAATGATTTCATCTCCTGGAGTCAAATATGCAAGACTTCTTCAGCCAAATCCACTGGTTCCTGCATTGTTACTTTCTGGGCAGAGAGCAAACCTTGGCCCCTTAGAACAAGCTTCCCACACTTGGCAAATAGAAATACAGAGCTCCCTGTTAAATCTGAATTTCAGATAAAACGTAATCTTTTACTATGGGACATAATTTACACTAAAAATACTATTCATTATTGATCTGAAACTTGTTTCAGATGGGCCTTCTGTGTTCTACCCTACTTGGGAAGGGAAATATATTCTTCCAAGGAGTCTGGCTGGGCAGGATGTAAGCAGTTCTGTTAATAATTAAAACACCAAGGTCCACAAACATCTGCCTCCTCCCTAACGACAGACTGTATTCCTTGTAAAATATGATGGGGCCAATAAAAAGATACAGGCAGAGAGTTGCACAAAGATCATCTTTTTATTTAAATATTTTGATGATATACATACAAATATAGTGTTTCTTCTGTAGAACAAATGTAAAAACTAATACAAATTATCACCCTTTCAGGAACAAAGAAAATCATCTACAGAATGTGATGACTTTATGTAGAGGAAGTTTAAGACCAGGTTTTGCTTGGAGTATGCAGGTCACATTCACAAGTTCACACAGTAGTGATAGTCTTGTTGCAGACTTGGCAAACAATAACTACTAAGTCTATAATGCAAAGACAAAAGCAACAGTTACAAGTAGAGAGTACAAGATTTAGAATATCAGAGAGAGACCTTCATTTTGGCCACAGGTTTAAGGAGCCTAAAGATATTTGCTTTTTCTTCGTACATATTAGTGGAAGTAGAAAAGTATAAATCTTTTGCATAACACAGGTCATCAATATTTTTTTTAAAATGTGCTACAAAATGAGTTTTTTGAGATTTCATTTTCCTAGTAAAATATACTCAAAATTCACAAAATTACAGCCTTTAAAGCTTATGGAAATTATTTTGTTGTGGAGAATATTTATATAATTGATGACTGATAGGCACTTACACTTTGAAACTTGAAATGGATCATTTCTTCAAGGAGGAATAAAAATACAATCTATTTATTTGGCCAAAACATCCAGATAACTAACTTTTCAGAAAGAAAGGCAAGATGCTGTAGAAATTCAGGTCAGCTCTACAATATTCAATAGTCCATGTAGTCAGCCATGGCCAACTAGCCAATGACTTTGAGACATGGAATAAATCATAATTTCAAACTCAAAATTACAGCAATTATAAGGTCTTCCAATATTTGTTTTGCAATCATAGATAAAAGAGAGTGGGTTCTAAAATTTGCCTAATTGTACACATATTGAGACACCCACAGTAGGCACTTGAGGATATACAGCAGTGAAAAGGGCTCAGCACAGTGAATATGGTTTACTGTGTTTTACTAAATTAGAAGATAATGTATCCTGAGTTTTTTTAATATTCTATTATTGCTATAAAAATAAAGTGATTTTATATTTATGAATTTCGCCCTGGATTATTCTACTGAACTTGAAGTATTTAATATTTTCATGATTACTGAGAGACAAAGGGAAGGAATGATGCTATTTTTAAGGTTATACAACACACACACACACACAACACACACACACACTTACATGCACAGAACACATAATGTTTTACCATATCATGTTCCAAAATTCAATTAACCTTACATGGATTGACGGGCATCTAGTTTTAAAGAATCCAAACAAGCAAAACAGGTCATTCAGACTGTACAAGTATCTTTGGATAAAAAAGCTGTTGGTAATCTGCTAGGTGCAAGAAGTACGGAACACAGAACAGCAAAGTTAAATGTTAACACGGGAGGCCAAGAACCCATTCAGTTTCATGGATGGCGCTACCAGAAGGCTCATGCACTAGAGACACTGCTAATCTGATAAATCAGAAGCCAGACTGACTCCCTACTTAACTTTTCCTGTGAGTATTATTTGGCCATAAGTCACTCAAAGACACCTAAGACCAGCTTCATCATTCTGTCCCTTCAGGAAGTCCCAGGGTATCTCTGAAGTGCAATCCTAGAAGCTGAGACATGAAGCTCTTTGCACAGTAGTGACTGAGAAAAATTTGAGGCCCATGGGATATGTGCCTCTTACACCTACAAGGCTCTTGAAAAGCCAGGTCCTCTGAGAACATGACATGAGTCCCTGCTGGCTAAACTCTGGTGTGGCTGATGGCTGCTTAGGAGAAGGATTGCTGGATGGTGCTCTGCTTGGAGACCCTGGTGGAAGATGTGGTTATCGTGTAATTAGAATGACTAGACTCCTCTAAGCCTGAGTCTGGCAGGGGACCCGGGACTCCAGCTGCAGAAACCACAGTCTTTTTGGCCATTACCGAGGTTTCGGCAGGGATCTGGTAACTAGATTGCAGCGTGGAGGCTGGCGTCAGCACTCTTTCGGTCACTGTCACGTTCTGACCTGAGGCTACACTGGGCGTGGCCAGCGGGGGCTGCAGGCTGGAGCTGGGGGTGAGGAAGCGCTCTCTTTCCTGCACCATGACATAGTGAGCGTCGGGCAGAGGCGGGGTGTCTTCCAGGGGGCCAGACGTGCCCCCGTGGGGTTGGATGACCCTCTCGGTGACCACCACGTGCCCCTTGCTAGCGTACTGCTGGTTCCCTAGGGTGGACGCCGGGGTGTAGACCCGTTCGGTCACGATCAGGCCCTGGGACTGTTGGGGGCCCAGGACCACTGTGCTTGGGGGCCCCGTGGTGCCCGTGGCATAGGACGTTTCAGTCATTATCATGTTGCTGGAAGCCAGTGTATCAGGAAGTGGTGCAGCGACCTTTTGAGCCTGCCTAGCGGATACAACAGACTTTTCAGTGACTATTTCCTGAGTTACCTTCTCTGTGTCTGCCTCATGCAAAGGCTTGGGACCCTGAAAGCTGCCACTCCAAGCGTTCTTGGAGTTAAGCCTGGTTTGCTCATAGAGGGACCGTGAAACTACCTTCTCATCTGCTTCTCTTGTGGGTTTTGCCCTCTGCTGAGTTTCTGCATCCATCTCTATTTTTCGACCCAAGCAAACTTCAGCGAGGGTCTTGAATTTCAATCCTAAGTCATCTAAGAAACGGTCATCTAGCTCTCCTTCAATGAAACTGCAGCAGCCGATGGAACCCCGGAGAGACTCTGTTTCTTCCTGAGAATAAACCAGAAGGCAATCTTTGGCTGTGTGGATGTCATCTTCCTCGGTGTAAGAGGCCACTTTCTGAAACAGAAAGAGAAACAGGCATACAGCCAGTGACACACTTCGTTTAAGGACAATGCTCTTAATTCCTGCTCAAAATGTGAAACCTCTAATTATAAGGAAACATCAGAGAAACACAAATTGAAGGACATCCTACCACACGACTGGCCTGTATTCTTAAAATAGTATTAATAAATGAGAAAGGCAGAGGGAACGGTTTCAGATTAAGAGGAGACACAAGGGTCATGACAAGTAAATGGAAAGCAGCACCCTAGAGTGGGTCTGAGATGGGAAAAACAATGGCTATAAAAGACATTATTGGGATCATTGGCTAAACTGAGACATGGAATGTGTTATTAAGTCTCTATACTATGGTGACGTAAGAGGATGTGTGCACGTGTGTGAGAGAGAAAGCAAGCAAAAGCAAATGTGGCAAAATGTTAATATTTGGGTAATCTGAACTAAGGGTGTGTGTGTGTGCATGCTAAGGCACTTCAGTTGTGTCTGTTTGTTTGCGACCCCACAGACTGCAGCCCACCAGGCTCTTCTGTCCATGGGATTCTCCAGGCAAGAAAACTGAAGTGGGTTGCCATGCCCTCCTCCTGGGGATCTTCCCAACCCAGGGATCATACTTGCATCTCTATGTCTCTTGCATTGGCAGACAGGTTCTTTACCACTAGCACCACCTGGGAGGCCCCGAGGAAAGCGTACATAGGAGTTCAAACTTTATATTATTCTTGCAAATTTCCAGATGAGTTTGAAATTATTTCCCAATTAAAAGCTGCACACACATACATAATCAAGACTGACTCACGAAGGATTAGAGCAGAGTGGGAAAAAGATACTGAGATAAAACAAACAGGGTAGCAGAATGGAGCCTGGCCATGAGACAGAAAGAGGATGAGAATCGCTTTTCCTCGACACTGACCAAACCACCATCTCCCTGGGGTCTAGCTGATCCTTGGGGGTGGGCAGCTGTGGTGAAAGCAGAAAGCAGGGAAGCACTCAGGTACTTTGTGGCCATGTAGAAAGGAGATAGCAGGAATAAAGTGGCCTCTATGGAAGCCCATCGGGTCCCCAGCAATCTGACTCTACCCATCCCATGCTCAGGCATGATCTTGTTCTCCAGAAAGGCTTCTAATTCCTAATTCCAGGAATCAACTTCCTGACTGCATTGCATCATCTTTCCTGCAACTTTCCTCCTAATTTTATGTGAACCGCCTCAAAGATGAACCAAGTACTTGCCTTCAAAAGAAAACACTTAAACAGGCGTAGTAGCTTGTGTTTTTTAGGTCACATAGTCTCTCCCCTCCCACCCTACCTGCTCTGCAGAGGGCCGCATTTTCTGACCCACCCACATCAGCCTGACCACGTGACCTGCTCTGGCCAATGACACGCGAGTGGGGAAAGGCAGTGGCTTTAGGGGTACTATTACCAGGTTCTCACTGATCTGGTCTCTGCACCCCAAGGACGGGCGCTTCCTGGGCACAACCTGAGCAGAGCTGAATGGCAAGAGCATGACTGTGAGAAATACGCCCTGGTGAGAAGTAAGACTGTGAGGTCACTTGTCACCACCACATACTGAACTAATTTGGTCCCATCTCTCCTTCCTCACTGCCTGTAAGCACCCTCTTCAAAGTAACACAGCCCCATTCAGATCCAAGAAAATGATTTCCCTAATAACATCACGTTCACATATAAATGCAACTTCCCCCACACAGAGAAACCAACGCTTACCTCAGTGAAGTAACTTCTCAGGAACTCCTCGTTCACCGCCACCGCGCCTGCTCGAGCTCCGGCCACTTCTCTGGCCGCCCCCGTGGCTCTCGTGGTCCTGAAGGTGTCCGAGGTCACCATGGCCCCGGTCGTCCCCGTAACCTGGGTGGCTCCGCCCGAGACGAGGCTTCTGTATTCTTCCCAGCGGCCTTCTGCCTCGGACATCTCCTGCTGCCCTTTGGTGAAGGAGGCGGAGCTGCCTCCTTTCACGAGAGCTTCCTTGGCCGTCACACCTCCGCCTGCCCCAGCGCCTACTGCGGCACCATCTCTGAGATCCGCCCCCAGAAGAGGCAGCACCACCTGTGGGAGCACACACCGCGAGTCGGGGACGGTCAGGACGCCTGGTGGACGGTCTGAGCTAAGTGAGCCGGTGAGAGTGTTAGTCACTCAGTCACTTTTTGTGACCCCAGAGGCTGTAGCCCGCCAGGCTCCTCTGTCCATGGAATTCTCCAGGCCAGAATACTGGAGTGGGTTGCCTTTTCTTTCTCCAGGGGGTCTTCCCCACCCTAGGATCGAAGCTGTGTCTCTTATGTCTCCTGCATGGGCAGGCGGGTTCTTAACCACTAGTGCCACCTGGGACGCCCAGTAAGTAGGTAGGGAAGGGGATTTTGCAACATTTTACAAATGTCACGGGGGCTGTGGGTGCACCTCTGCGGACCTTATGTATCGTGTGGACTGGAAATGGAGAAGCACCTGGTTGTGAAAGACTGCCCATGTAAATACTGGGACAAACCTTCCTACCTAAACCCCTACACACTCGTGCTCTATTTAGCCTTTGTCGGACATTCCCGGTGTCACTACCTGACCCTCTGTCTACGTTCTCTATGACTCAGGACCTGACCTGTCGCAGTAGAGCAAAACCACCCCAACTGGGCCCTGGCAACAAATACAAAGTAGGCGGTGTTTAACGAAGGCACGTGAATGAAATCTGTAGGAACCGGTTTACTCTCATGACCTATGATGTCAGAGCCACTTCCTAAGACTCCTTTAAAGCAGCAAAGAAGACACTGGATTATCTCACCTTGTCTTCAGGTGGCGCCCCCTCGTTGTTCCACGGATGCAGCATCTCTATGGTACCCGGGATGGGGGTAAAGCCTTTGGCGCCCTTTCCACAATGGCACACCAGCAGTAGAAGTGGTATAACTGAACAGAAACAAAATCCAGTACAGAGAAGGTTAGTCTCGACAGATTTTCAAATTTATCTTGCATAGTCTTGGAATTTGCATATCCCTTTCGAGAGTTCGGTCTTCACTTACTTATAGCCCTACTTTTCTGTTTTTCTTTTCTTCCCCTGATCCAAACTCAACAAGTCTGTTTTGGGTGAGTCATACCAAAGCCGAAAGGCAGGATGAAGGAGTCTTACAGATTCAGAGTTCCTGTCCATCACAAAGACTGTGGTCACTGCCTGTGGTCACTCAGTGGAACATCAAGACTGGATATGACACTATCCAAATCATCAAAATCAATTTAATAGCTTAATTTTTTAAAAACCACTTTAATTTTTAACATGTGCTTCCGTGGTGGCTCAAAAGGTAAAGAATCTGCCTGCAACGCAGGAGACCCAAGTTTGATCCCTGGGTCGGGAAGATCCCCTGGAGAAGGGAATGGCTATCCATTCCAGTACTTAAGCCTGAGAATTCTATGGGCAGAGGACCTTGACGGGTTACTGTCCGTGGGGATGCAAAGAGTCAGACACGACTGAGTGACTAATACTTTCACAGACTGTGGTTACTGTGTGTAATAAAAAGACCGAAGACAGCAAACGTTTATCAAGTGTCTGCCATGTGCTAAGCACCCCCACTAAACCCGGGGAAATCTGAGGTGAAACGGTAGTGCAAGGAATCCCAGGTGAAACAAGTTATTATCGTCAGGTCAGTATCTTAACCCATTAAATGGAGATGATGATATAAAAGTGCACTGCAAACTGTTGAGTGCTGTGTATTCAACTGCACATATGCTAATGGCTTGGATGCACCCCTCTTCTGACAGAAAAATAGCAGAGGCTGCCTTGGAGGTGGGGGTCTGCCCATGAGCAGTGGGCAAGTGGAGTGGCTCCACGTGCCCCTAGGCTGCAGTCTTCTGTTCTTCCATGAAAGGAAACCCAAAGTCACTGGAGGGCGCTGGAGGACAGGCAGGAAGGGACGGCCAGTTGTCACTGCTGGGAAACATGTAAGTGCTCAGAGGGTCTGGCTCCTGTTGGTGCACGGGGAGGGGCAAGCCAAGCAGAGCCTGTGGGGAGGTGGAGCTCTGACAAGTCAAGGGTGCAAAAAGCAAGAACTGATGGGAATCAGATGAGTTTGTAAAATAACCTTGTACCATGCAACAAGTCTTTTCTGAGAGTTTTCCACACACAAGGCACTGTGTGTGGAAGAACAGATAACTCACCTCCCTCACAGAGCTTAACAAAATGGGGACACCCACAAGGTTGAAACGTATGTCTAATAATCTTGGTTACTGAAATCAGGAAATGATATTTTTATAAAACAAAATTCTGAAGAGAGCTCTGATAGCTTTTGGTAAATTGATCAATGATCAATTCTTGCTTCCCTTCTCACCCTCAATAGCATTCTAGTGTGATTACAGAAAAACTAAAGAAATCAATGAGTACTATAGTAACAAAATACTAAAAACACCCTAAAAAGACACTAGAAATTACTAAAAGAGGAAGTACTCAGTGATGTCCAGCTCTTCACAGCCCCATGGACTGTGTAGCCCACCAGGCTCCTCTGTCCATGGGATTTTCCAGGCAAGAATATTGGAGTGTGTTGTCATTTCTTCCTCCAGGGGATCCTTCTGACTCAGGAATCGAACCTGACTCTCCTGCTTGGCAGGCAGATTCTTGGCCACTGAGCCACCTGGGAAGGCCCCCAAAAGGGAACGTACAGCTTTTAAAGTACTCACGTAGCAAGAGCAGAAGGGCAAGAATTATGAGTGCAACTGCGGCAGGTCCCAGGCCAACGTAGGAGTCAGCCCACATTTCTACACAGCCACTGCCTTCCACACACTTGCAAACTGTGAGTTTAAGGATCTGCTCTTCAGGACAGCTGAAGCCTTGACTATCTGCGATCCGGAAGTGAATTTCACTTCTCCCATGCTGTCTTTTGGTTTGTTGCAGTAGCACACTGGTGTCTGTAAGGGACAAAAAAATAAAGTGAATGGTTACTGAGAAAGGGGCAAGATTAAATTACAGAAACATTTTTTTTTTCTCCAATTTATTGAGGTATATTTAATTTACAGTATTATATAAGTTTCAGGTATACAACACTGCAATTCATACTTTTTAAAGGTTATACTCCATTTACAGTTATTGTAAAATATTGGCTATAACCCCTGTGACATACAGTATATCCTTGCAGCTTATTTATGTTAACATAGTAGACTCTACCTCTTAATCCTATACCCCCGTCTAGTCCCTCCTCACTTGCCTCCCCCAGTGGTAACCATCAGTCTGTTCACTGCATCTCTGAGTCTACAGAAACATTCTTTAATTGCTAATCATATTTAGCCCCGGTTAGTTTTATTATTCCATAACTTCTCTGTTGAATTCACAGTGTGCTCGATGAGATTAGTCCAAATATGCAGGTGAAGATCACAGCATCATTTCTGAACACACCTTCCTTTTATGACTAATGTTAACCAATATGTGTGATCTACCTGATGCTAGGAACTCTTTCCATTACATGGATACAGTGACAAACAAGTGGTGAGTTAAATGATACTTCCATCGAATGACCATTTTTTTAAAATTTAGTTTTTCCTGTTTAAAATAACTACTTATTTATTTGGCTGCACTGGGTCTTAGTTTCAGGATCTCTGAACTTCACTGTGGAATTTGGGATCTTAGCATTTCATATGAACTCTTAGTTGTGGCCTGTGGGGCCTAGTTCCCTTGAGCAGGGATCGAACCCGGCCTCCCTGCATCAGGAGCTCAGAGTCTCAGCTACTGGACCAGCAGGGAAGTTCCTATTCTACCATTTCTTAAAAGAACTTTATTAAGGCAAATTTCAAACAGAGGGTGATCAAGGAAAGAACATAACTAACCCTCATGGTACTCATCTCCAGCTTTAATAATTTTCAACAATTGGCCAATCTTGTTTCATCCAGTTGCAACCTTTTTGTTCCCAACATGGTATGTTTGAAATTTTGAAAAATTTCAAATCTACAGAAAACTTGAAAGACTATGACTGATACAATGAGTTTTGATATACTCTTCATGAATTGTTTACATTTTATAACAATACTATCTCTCTACATGCACACTTTTTTTTTAAACTGAAGGATAATTGCTCTACAGAATTTTGTTGTTTTCTGTCAAACCTCAACATGAATCAGCCATAGATATATATATATCCCCTCCCTTTTGAACCTCCTTCCCATCTCCCTCCCCATCCCACCCCTCTATTTTAAGGTAAGTTGCAGATCTCATGACCTTCTTCAGCATATACCTTCTAACATCAAAGGATATTAAGCCCTTCTAAGAATTAATTATTGAAAAAATAATCTAACATATAACTCATATTCAAACTTTTCAACTGTTATAAAAACATCCTGTATAATTCTCTCTATATGGCTTTTTTTTTTTGTAATCCTGGATCCAACTGAAGATTATGCCCTGCAATTAGTTGTCACCTAGTCTCTGTTAATAATCTACAAGAGTACCACCTTCCTTTTGGCCCTTTAAAATCTTGACCTTGTTGAAGCCCACTTATTTTAAAGGATGCTCCACAGTTTGAATCTGTTTCCTCATGATTGGATTCAGGTTATACATTCTTGGCAAGAATATTACACAGAAAGTGTTGCGCAAATGACCTTTAATCATATATTTTAAAAATGTGACTGATTATTTAAAATTTTTTCCTTCAACATGAATAAAAATCATGACCAGTTTTCATGAGTAAAAGGACTGATCAATTAAAATAGCTTAAAACTTTTCCTGATATATGTTTAACTCATTAAAAACTAGTTTACTTGGGGACTGCCCTGGCAGTCCAGTAGTTAAGAATATGCCCTGCAACACAGGATAGCGATTCCTGGTTAGCGAACTAAGATCCCACTCACCTCAGAGAAACTAAGGCCATGCACCCCAACTACCAAGCCCACTTACCACAACTACTGAAGCCCGCAGGCCACAACTAGAGTGTCTGTGTGCTAAAATGAAGATCCTGTGTGCCCCAGCTAACACCCGACACAGACAAATCAATAAACAAATATTTAAAAAGTTTACTTGCAAGACATGTAAAGATGGATAAATACCAAAATAAAAATGAGGTATTTGGGGTTTTTCAAATTTATTTATTTTTGGAAGTAAGAGATAGTCTCTTTACATCTTAAGGTGCAAATTTTACGGAATCTTGGTAACCATAGCTAGAAATTTCCTTATTAGATAATCCCCAAAGTTCTGTAGAAGTGTGGAAAGTATCTAGTCATTCATTTGAGGAATATGAGCTTGTCAAAAGCAATCTAGGAAAACATGGGTGAAGAATACAACTAAATTCACAATTGGCTCTGAGGGTTAGGGAAGGTGGAGGTGGAAGGAAGGGTACAGAGGGGTCGTCCACTTTATCAGCGATCATTAAAAAATAAAAGCCTGATGCAAATATGACAAATTGTTAATATTTTTTAATTCTAAGTGGGAAGTACAAAGGTGTCTGCCTTATTAGTGAAGTCACTCAGTCGTGTCTGACTCTCTGTGACCCCGTGGACTATAGCCCACCAGGCTCCTCGGTCCATGGGATTTTCCAGGCATGAATACTGGAGTGGGTTGCCATTTCCTTCTCCAGGGGATCTTCCCAACCCAGGGATTGAACCTGGGTCTCCTGCATTGTAAACAGAGGCTTTACCGTCTGAGCCACCGAGGAAGCCCTTTGTAGCTGTCTGTACTTAAAAAACTTCTCAAGTAAATAAAATAGTTACCAGTCAATCCTAAAGGAAATGAACCCTGAATATTCATTGGAAGGACTGATGCTGTAGCTCCAATACTTTGGCCACCTGATGAGAAAAGCCAACTCATTGGAAAAGACCATGATGCTGAGAAAGATTGAGGAGAGGAGGAGAAGGGGGTGACAGAGGATGCAATGGTTGGATGGCATCATCGACTCAATGGAATGAGTTTGAGCAAATCCCGAGTGACAGTGAAAGGCAAGGAAGCCTGGTGTGCTATGGTCCATGGGGTCGCAGAGGGTGGGACATGACTGCATGACTGAACAACAACAACAAAAACAACAACATCTATTATCATGACAGGTGGTCACACATCTCATTATATAGGGCTTCCCCAGTGGCTCAGATGGTAAAGAATCCGCCTGCAATGCAGGCGACCTGGGTTCAACCCCTGGGTTGAGAAGATTCCCTGGAGAAGGGAATGGCTACCCACGCCAGTATTCTTGCATGGAGAATTCCACGGACAGAGGAGACTAGCAGGATACAGTCCATGGGGTCGCAAAGTTGGACACGACCAGGCGACTAATACTCGCTCACTCACTCATTATATAACCAAGGAGAAAAAAGGCAAAAAGCCTGGAATACAGCATCATGTTTCTCCCAATTACTGAGATAAATAAAGTATAATCTCAGTGACTTTCTGGTATAACACTCTAACACCTATGTGTATCCTAAAGAGCTTTACATTCCTCAGGCTAGGAAAAAATTCAAGAGCTCAAATTCAAATGTTTTTATCTTTAGATAGAAAATTCACTGTGTATTTGGAGAGGCAATAGAACATAAAAGTAGAGAGTAGAGACTCCACAGCCAGACTGCGTGGGTTCAAATCCTATTATTCCATCAGCTTCTTAACTAGCTGTGACTTTGACTTTAGTAAAACTTCCTGCACATTTGTTTACTCATCTGTAAGATGTTGATGACAGTAATGCCAAACTTCTAGCATTGATAATATTAGTTAAAGTGCTTAGACTAGTGCCTGGCATCTCAAAACATCATGTTCATTAGATAAAATAAATACATCTTGGAATCCCAGCAGATTCAATGCAAAACACATTTACATATCTTAGTCAAAGAAAAGCAAACTGCAATCAAGCAGTCAACCTAGGTGGGAGTATCAGACTTCCATGAGTACAGAAGGAGATAATGCGAACCAGGGGACCAACCTATCTTGAGTCCTGGGGTCTGTGACTTAATTACCATTAAGAAGAATCATCTGGATGTCTACATCGCAAGGCTCATGATAGCTGAAAACTTGATCTTAAGTAACCTCAATTAATCAGGATTGTGACTGTCTTCCCTTATTGGGGAGACAACTTGAGTTAATCAACAATGTAACTATCTTTTGCAAGTGAATCATAAACCTTAAGAAGATTCAGAATTAAGTATAGGAATATTTAAGGAAACTAAAGACAAGTTTTAGTATTTTTGTAAAGAAATTACTTGCATATGTTATTGTATTTCTACACTTACAATATTTAAAGGAAAATTAGCTCTACTGAAATGATAGCTTTGTAAGTCCAATTTAAAATGTGTAATTATGTTATTCATTTAGATTTATAGTTTTAGGTTGAAATATCACTGGTTTGTTGTAGTGGACCACAAAAGAGGATTTCACGTGTGATAGAAGTTAAATTTATTGGAATTTTAAAGTATTAAGAATCATAAGAAAGTTTTATTTAATTCAGATCATTGGAATACAAAAAAAGGAAGCCAAATATACTAAATGTATAAATGTATTAAAACGTTGAAGGTGTTTACTTTGTAAATTGGACCAAACATAGTTCGAAGCCTCTTAAAATTACTGCAAGTGTAAATTTGCTAAGCCTAAAAAACCAGTGAACTTGTAAGTTAAGAAAGATTGGGGTATTATATTTAAAATTCTTCTGAAATGAATACCAACTGTTTAAAACGAGAGTCTTCTGGAGATTATTTTTCAGCATTTGAAATCCAAAAGAACATGTCAATAAGGGAGTATGTCCCAAGGTTTGGATATATGCTCATGTCCTTCTGGCATGGGGGTAGGAGGACAGACAGCTTCCTTTTCATGTTATGTCCGTCACTCACCAGCTTTGTGACTTCAGACAAGCTACCTAACTCTAGTTAAGTCAAAGCTCTCTCAGCTGTGATCAGGGGATGATGGTATGGGGTAAGGAGTAAATGTGATGAAGCATAAGAAGGGTTAGCAGAGTGTCTGGCACATGGTATATGCTCCCTAAGTGTTATTTTTAATGGAATCGTCATTACCGTACCTCAAGATTTCTAGAAGGCACCTACTAGGATTACTGTGCTTAGAAAGGCAAAGTACTCCTCAAGCTTATGAGACAACTACTTCAAGAGTGATTTGGGGAATACCCAGCTACTTTTAAAATATTAGAGGGGACTTCCCTGGTAGTCCAGTGGTTAAGAATCCACAATACACTGCAGGGGACGTGGGTTTGATTCCTGGTCTGGGAACTAGGATCCAGCCCACTACAACTACCGCGTGCGTGTGTGCGTGCACCTGATGTCCCTTCAGTCGAGTCTAACTCTTTGCGACCCCATGGACTGTAGCCCACCAGGCTCCTCTGTCCATGAGATTCTCCAGGCAAGAATACTGGAGTGGGTTGCCGTGCCCTCCTCCAGGGGATCTTCCGAACCCATGGATCAAACCTATGTCTCTTATGTCTCCTGCATTGGCAGGCGGGTTCTTTACCACTAGCGCCACCTGGGAAGCCTTGACAACTACTGCTGAGCCTGGCACCACAACTACAGAGTCGATATACCACAAGGAAGATGCTGCATGCTGCAACTAAGATCTGATGCAACCAAATAAATAAATAAAAATTAAAGAAAAAAAAAAGAGAGGTATTAGACATCTATTTTTCTTCTTTCCCTCCAGGTAGATTATTTATCATTAGGCAGATCAAACACACTATGCCTGAGGTTCAGGACTTCATTTTATAAACTCGACTGTATTGGAAATACAATTTATGCAAAGCAAATAAATAACTGTATTATGAACATTTTATATGCTTTGCAAATATTTTAGTATATGTGCTGCCGAAGCGAGCACTATTTGCTTTGCAAATAGATTTCTATCTTGTTAAACATTTAAATATATAGTCTAGAGATTTTTGCTTACCTTCTTGGCGTACTATTTTCCATCTTTCTGCCATTCCGGCTGGTTTATCAATGACAGAAAAACTGAAAGGCCAGCTGTTTTGAGGTCCGTCCAGGTCCTGAGCGGTCACGTTCACAAACGGCACGTTGTCACAGACGGTCTGCACAGGTTCGACCAACGTGGGACAATTGTCATTGATGTCTTCAACATTGACAACAACAGTGCCAGTGATGGTTTTCCTAGGATATTCTTATAGATAGAAAAAAAAAAAAAACCATTCTGGTCATACTGCTCAAAATGGACATAGTTTGAATTCTCTAGTCAATTTCATAAGGAGAAATAGTATCCAATTAGGACACTTCTTATCTTAGATTTGTTTTCGTATTCAGATCAAGTAATGTCTTTTAATCCACTAAATATGTAGAAATGTGAGGGTTTACCCATTTGACCTTTCTATAAAGCCAAAACAAAGGTCTCCATGGTTGGAAAATAAAATCTAAATACATATAACCAAGAAGAGACATTTCTTTAATAACTTACCTTCTGTTATAGCCAAAATCTTTGCAGTGTATGTACCATTTTGGACATATCTGGATTCATAATCAGGAATCTTCACAAGTTTAATTTCAGAGGTGGCAGAATTCACAGAGATCCAATTGTCTATATCATCAAATTTGGCATATCTGTTAGAAAAGAGAAAATTAATTCTGAACTCTGGATAAACTGAGACTGTTTATAACTAATATCTACAACTCTTTTAAGCTTAATTTCTGCTTTATTATGTATGTTCTTATTACAGGCATGTTTGGAATGTTTTTAAATTTCTTGAGACTATCCTAAAAGCCCCTCTGTTTATCACTGTCTCACACCTACTTTGGAATCCTCCTTATTTCTTACTCACCTGGGAAGGTTATGAGTTGCTCTTAGCCTGTCTTACAGCTTTCAATCTAGTTTCCCTTAAATTTGGAGTTAACCTTTTGAGGATAACTTAAGTCATCCAACAAGAACTCGTGGAGAAAAGCCACCTTACATCCTACTGTTTCTTGGCATATTATCAATATTTAAAAATAAGTTTTTTTTTTTTTAATAACAGTTTGAAAAAAAAATCAATGCCTTAAATGGAAGTGCTTTAAATTTGCTGGACATATGTACACCTATGGCTGATTCATGTTGATGTCTGACAAAAAACAACAAAATTCTGTAAAGCAATTATCCTTCAACTAAAAAATAAATAAATTTGCAGGATATTTTTAGTTGTTAGGAGCAACAGTCTCCTTTTTGTTAGAAATAGCTAAAAGTGAAAACAAAGCTGATAAGATGATTTCTGGTTTTCTTCTCTCAAAGCAAAGGAAAATTATAGAGTGGAAAGACAGCTTCAGGAAGGCAAGTAGAACTTTCATAGTATATTTTCACAAAAGTATGTCAATTTAATCCCATCAAGTTTAAAACACATCCAAATACAAACATAAACTAAATAAACATATGAGTATTTGGTTCAAGCAATTAGATTATTATTTTGTATTAAGTGGCAGTTTAGGCATACAAAAATGAGTGGCTAACATGTGGCAATATTTATTTATAGTTGCTATTAAAAAATTCCAATTATACACTTGAACTAAATTTTCCTGCCTTTTAATAATTTTACCAGTAAATGATGATACTTTTGGATATTCACAAATATTTTTGAATTTCATGGCTGGAATTTTAAAGCTTGAACTTAGCTCAATGTTTTCCCACATTATACTTATAACCAAGACAGAGTTACAGTGATAAGAATCACATTTCACAATGGAAAGCTTTGTGTGATTTCATTTAAGGAATTTTCTGTGTTCTATTGTTAAAATTATACACCATTCAAGACAGGATGGTGGCTCACATGTCATGTCAAATATCCGTAACAACTGATGAACATGGATAATCAAAGTAAATCATGACAAAGTTGAGAGTGTTTCTTCTACTGTTCTCATCGACATTTCAATTAGGTGAATACTGGAAAATTATTTCACTTAACTGTGCCTCTCATTCCTTATCTGTAAATAATGATTTTACAGATAAGGTTTGAGTTAATCTTTAAGATCACTCTCATTCTAAAGTTGTATCCAAAAGAATAAGGTACTTTTGACAAGAAACATGTTTCATTATTTTTCAAGGTAGCACACATCATCTTTTGATACGGTCATAACTCTTACTGAAAACAACAAACAAAATTAAATAGGTAGATGGAAACAGAAGTTCCAGTAGACAGCCACAGTATTATTGAAGAGTAATTAATCAGAACATTTAAGCCTCTCAGCGGACAGTCTGAGAAGTCAAAGGAATGCACATCCTCAGGTTTAGAGCCACAGAAGTAAAAATTAGGCTACAAAACTCAAAAGAAGGTGGACTGGTGCCTGAAGGTAAGCTGCACAAAAAAGGATCACCAAGACATTGCAGAAAACTCAATGGAAACTGTTTGTTAATATTATTTTAGAAAAAGGTCATTTGCTACTATTGGCTGATGAATTCTATGAGATTTTCCAAAATGAAAGAGACTGTTGAAAAGGTTCCTCCATATCCCCATTCTTGCTATGGTTGGCAGTGTTTCACGAAGTGCTGGCACCCAGGGACAAAGGCCCAAGCAGACTGAAGCAACCGAACAACTCTGGTACTGACAGCAGGAAAACAGGAGCCACGTGATGGACATCCAGGATTCCACGGAGGCCGTAGACATCAAGAGCACGTGCTGAAGCACATGGCTGCCCCTGGTCGGCCACTGCAAGACCTTCAAGGACGCCAAGCATGATGCTTTCAGCGCCCCCTGACGGTCATCTTGGGTGGCAGGTGAGGATTCTTGGACTGTGCTGTGCTTAGGCGCTCAGTTCCGACTCTCTGTGACCCCATGGACTGCAGCCCACCAGGCTCCTCTGTCATGGATTCTCCAGGCAAGAATATTGGAGTGGGTTGCCATGCCCTCGTCCAAGCGATCTTCCCAACCCAGGGACCAAACCCAGGTCTACCGCATTGCAGGTGGCTTCTTTACTGTCTTGCGCCACCAGGGAAGCTCAAGAATACCGGAGTGGGTAGCCTATCCCTTCTCCAGGGAATCTCCCCAACCCAGGAATTGAACCAGGGTCTCCTTCATTGCAGGCAGATTCTTTACCAGCTGAGCTACCAGGGAAGCTTAACTTGAACCAAATAACTACAGGTAAGCAGAGCTTCATAAATTACAGCCCTGTAGAGAGCTAAGATGTAAACTCAAAGATGTAAACTCACTTTGCAGATGTGAATGGACCATGCAAACCTAAGGTGCTGCTATAGAATGGGTCTAATACAGGGTTGGCATATGATGGGTTCTTTAAAAATTTTTAATTTAAATTTTTTGGGCTTCCCTGGTGGCTCAGATGGTAAAGCGTCTGCCTGCGATGCGGAAGACCCTGGTACAATCCTTGGGTCGGGAAGATCCCCTAGAGAAGGAAATGGCAAGCCACTCCAGTACTCTTGCCTGGAAAATTCCATGGACAGAGGAGCCTGGTAGGCTACAGTCCATGGGGTCGCAAAGAGTCAGAAAATGACTGAGCGACTTCACTTTCACTTTCATAGCCCATTAATAATGTTGCCATAGTTTCAGGTGGACAGCAAAGGGATTCAGCCTTACATGGATACGTATCCATTCTCCCCCAAACTCCCCTCCCATCCAGGCTGCTCTATAACATTGAACAGAATTCCCTGTGCTATAGAGTAGGTCCTTGTTGGTTATCCATTTTAAATATAGCAGTGTGTACACGTTGAACCCAAACTCTATCCTGTCCCCACCATTCTTCACCTCGGCAACCATAAGTTGGTTCTCAAAGTCTGTGAGTCTCTTTCTGTTTTGTGAGGAAGTTCATTTGTATCGTTTCTTTTCAGGCATCTAGTAGATTCCTCATAAATATGTTCTGAATAAAGGTCACCAGGATCAAGACAAACATTACAAGTTTCATCAATCCCTGGACCAAAGAGCCTAGTTTGAATGAAGATCAATTTTCAAGGCTGATGATCAATTAAAACTGGTTTTCCCATTATTAAAATTTTAATGCATTATGCAGCTTTTTCCCTCTCTTAATCAAAAGTATGTAAAGTGAACTTGCAGTAAATTTTACTTGCTACTTTCTTACCTCTAAAGACAGATTTTAAAAAGTTTCTTTCTGAACTTTCTCTTTGTTGCTATTTAGCCTTCTCAACCCAGAACTTTTTTTTAATTAAAAAATTAAAAAAAAATTTACAACGTTGCGTTGGTTTCTGTCATACAACAATGCAAATCAGCCATAATTATACATACATTCCCGCCCCCCCTAGTCTCCCTCCCCTCCCCCAATCCCATCTCTCCAGGTCATCACGGAGCAGCAAACTGGGCTCCCTGTGCAACATGCAGCTTCTCACCAGCTATCCATCTTACACCTGGATAGTCTATGTACAGTGATGCCACTTTCTCCATTCTTCTCTTTCCCTCCCCCACTGTGTCCACAAGTCCCTTCTCTGTATCTGCGTCTCCTCTCCTCCCCTGCATCATTTTTCTGAACCCAGCCAGCCTTTGCCTCGTACTCGGGTCATGGAGGGAAGGGGTTCCTGGGGAAACGCCTTGCCTCTCAGTGACAACACAACTCCAGGAATTTCATTTACAGGCCTTTTGGGGTCTGTAGGCTCCCCAAGCAGGGTTCAAAGGACTGAAGTGTCCAAATTCCATTATGATTTTTGAAAAGAGGCATTCAAAGTAACTTAGAATGAGGAAATAATATTCACAACCATTTCTTACTTTACATTGGCTACTTTTCCAGTGTCTTCATCAAAAGCTTGGAATTTTCCCAGTATTTGGCCCTGGCTTGATTTCTCCATGCTCTCGCTAGTGTGAAATCGGATTGTGCTGCTTTTAAAATAAACGCCTTCTTTCACATTTTTCACTTTGACTTTGATGGGAATGGATGTTGGCTTGTATTTATCCTTAATTGATTTGTGAAAAGCTGCTCTGTTAGTGACAATAATGCTCAAGTCAAGATTCTTCATTGTTTCATAGTCTACTTCCTAGAAAGGCAAAATCAGAGGGAATTCTTTTAAAAGGGAAAACAATAGAACACACGCGTGTGGTTTCGGTGTCAGATATTATATAATCATTTAAAACATGAAAAATACAGCAATACTGAGTACAGTAAATCCCCAATATATCAATTCCATTCTGAGAGCATGTTCGTAGTCCAGCTTTGTTCATTAAGTCCAACAAAGTTAGCCTAGGTATCCAACTAACACATTCGGCTATACAGTACTGTACTGTAATAGGCTTATAATACTGCCAGTCAAATAATACATAAAAAAACAAACACAAAAAATAAAGAGAACACTTTTAATCTTACAGTACAGTACCTTGAGAAGTTCAGTAGTACCATACAACAGATGGCATCCAGGGGCTGGCATCCAGTGAACAGGCAAGAAGAGTTATGGAGGGGAGGAGGGAGAGGAGGAGGGAGGTGGTAGAGCTGAAGGACTGTCAGCGATAGGAGATGGAGGGCGAGCTGCAGTTTCACTCATAGTTTAATGTGATTGGACACGCAAACATACGTTCTCATTTTTTGAAAGTTCACTACTTGAAGGCTTGTATATAGGGCACTCTTATATTGATACCATGTCATTAAAAATCTGCAGCCCCATGGACTGCAGCCCACTAGTCTCCTCTGTCCATGGGATTTCCCAGGCAAGAATACTGGAGCAGGTTGCCATTTCCTTCTCCAAGGGATAGTCCCGAACCAGGAATCGAACCCATGAGTCTTGCATCTCCTGCATTTGCAGGAGGATTCTTTATCACTAGCGCCACCTGGGAAGCCTAAGGGTGTTTAGGAAGCATCCCCAATTTTACTTTATTTAAGATCAAAATCACTTCAAATATATATATTTTTATTTTTAGCAATCTGAAGTGATTCTTTGCTCAATTAAAAAAAAGTTATGGGACATTCAATATAGGTTAATATTCCTTAAAAAGTGTTCCATGGGTTTGTTCTGGCAAAAAGGGCTACATAAGTAGCAGCAGACTGCCAGCTCTGTCCCATAGCATATCATAAAGCTGAGACCTCACTGCATCTTATTAGGTAGCACATAATATTAATATGTCTCTTTATTAATGATGTTCATTTTGATCATTTGATCTGAGGCTTCCCCACTGTAAAGTTTTTTTTTGGCCTTTGTAATTCACGTGTATTTTGTGTGGTGGTACTTTGAAACTATTTAAGTACCCCATTTCTCTGCATATTTTCTATTTATGTTTGTTTATATTAGTATAAAAAAAAATAAAAGGAGACCTCATGGAGAAGAAAAATTATTTGACTATATTAAACCCGGGAAGGGGTTTTCAAATTTGTTTAAACAGAGAATCTAACTCCCTTCTTTATACCATGATGTCTATTAATAACTGGTTTGCTATTAATGCCATAAAAGATTAACCCTCTTCCAAATACTCTATTCTTTGCGAATTGTGGTATTACATTTGATTTGATCAGTTTATCACCCTCTCTATATATTTTCCAATTTGTCCATTTTCTTTTTAAAAACATTTCTATAGTGTTCTACTATTTAGATACACTTAATTTACTTAGCTATTCTGTTATTAGGCATTTGGACTATTTGCAATTAACATTGCTCTGAACATCTGCATGCAAGTTTTTTTTTAGATACTATATATGTTTTTATTTTTCTTGGGTGAACACCTAGGACTAAATTGTTGGGTCACTGGATTAGTACTCTATTTAGCTTTTTTACAAAACTGCCAAACTGGCTCTGCCATTTAACACTTCCACTGGCAATGTACAGGAGTTCTGGTTTCTCTATATGCTTGCTGATATTTGGTGGTGTCTGTCTTGTTTGATTGCAGTTTCTTTCTAGCCAGGTGTGCAGTGAGAGCCCACACAGACTTAATCTGCACCTTCCCTAATGTCTAACGATGCCGGCTATCCTTTATGTGCACACTTGCTATTTGTACATCTTCTCTAACTTCCTGTGAATGGAATCTGACGGTTGCCCTTATACTTTGGAAGCGATTCTTTATATAATTGAGAAAGTAAATTCATAATTTTCTTAACCTGGTGCTGTCATTTTACTACTAAATCTACAGTAACTCTGTCCCTTTTTGTGCTGCCGTGGTGCACTGAGGGTGTTTTTATTCTTCATCACTATGTGACTGCTTCTCCTTCCGTGCAGTACTGGCTTTTAATCTCAAGCACTGAGGATGGCTGCACCTATAATCTATGACTAAAAAATGATGCTTAGTTCTATACAAGCAGGTAAATTGATTTTGTCTCTAATGCCATTATCCATTTATTCAGTAATCATAAAATTTGTCTTCCCTTTAAACATGAGCTAATCTTATTCTGTTTTCCTCTGCTTTACAAAAAGAGGTCTATGAACATACAGTAGTCTATTGATAAACGGTATCCATAATTATTACAATGAAACTTCAAGTTAATTTCCCTCTATTCTGTTATACATTATATTATCGTTATTCCTCTATTAGGGTTTACTTACTTTACCATATAATAAGTTTTGTAAAAATGTGGATGCTTCTGTAATCAATTTTTGTCTGTGACTTAATGAAATGTTTTGAAAGCTTTAGCTTTGCATTTTATTTTAAAATTTGACATTCTATCATGAGCCATTTAACATATAGTGGTATTCTTCCTTTTTAATTTTGTTAAAAAAAAAAAAATTCATCCTCTAACTTTGTTTAAAAAATTCTATAGGAGTCAGGGTTTTAAATGTTTAAGACCCATATACTTATAACACTATTTAATTTTCATTGATTCAATTAAGCAGAATTATACACTGTGTTTCAAAATGTGACCCTCACACCACTGACTGTGTTTCAAAATGTGACCCTCACACCACTGACATTAGAAATACAAAGAGTATGACCACTTACAACCATAGAACTTGGGCAAATACGGATGGCGCCTATCTCTAACATTGTGGCACCAGTACTTATAAATATTTGGAGCTCAAAATACATCAGTATCCTCCTCTGGACCAACTTCTCTCATTTCAGGTTTGAACACTAAGTCCTTACCTTAATCAGGGTCACGATTCCTTCATTAGTTTGAGTATCAGTTTCTATGCGGAAATAACCCCCTTCGTTTCCTGATGCAAAAGTAAAATTTGCTAACCAATTATCGGAGCCTACTTCATCTGCGTCGGACACTTTTATGCGTAAAACCTCTACGTTGGCTTGGTTTTCTTCAACTGATCCTTCGTACTGCAAAACAGAAACAGGAGGTTTTTAGTCTGATGGAACACAAACGTAAGTGATATACTTTTAGTTACGACTGACATGTAAGTAGGCACAAATGTTATAAAAATAGTAGTTACCATGTTACTGTCGACTACAGGTATATTGTCATTGACATCCAAAATACGAATCTGAACTTGAGCTTGTTTTACTGGTTTATCTGTTATTTGTCCATTGCCATCTCTTGCTTCTACTGTCAAAGTGTAGCTGCTGTATTCCTGCAGGGCAATGAAAAAGATCCGGCTGGGGTGAAAATGAATTGCTCCGAAATCTGTCTTTCTTTTCACTTTATCATCAGGGGAATGAACCACAGTACATTTTATTCATAAGTAAGATTCATGGGGGCTTCCCTGGTGGCTCAGTGGTGAAGAATCTGCCTGCCAATGCAGGACACAGGTTCGATCCCTGATCTGGGATGATCCCACAGACCTCGGAGCTAGTAAGCCTGTACACCACAACTACTGAGTCTGTAGTCTAGACCCCAGGAGCTGCAACTACAGAAGCCCGAGGGCCCTACAGTCTGTGCTAAACAAGAGAAGCCACAGCAATGAGCAGCCTGCGCACCACAACTAAAGAAAAGCCAGTACAGCAACAGAGACCCAAAGCAGCCAAATATAAATAAATATTTTTAAAAGTTTCATGACCTGCTGTTAATTCTGTGAAGATGTTGTTTGTTTGCCATCAGAGCTTTCTTTTATTTTTATTTTTTATTTTATTTTATTTTTTTTTTGGAGCTTTTTTTTAAAAGGGCAGAAAAGCCCAGAGCAGTTGTTGACATCAAATTCTTAATTACATCATTGGTGATATTTATCAGGAGATGAATCTCTCCTTTAAATAGTCTGAGCACAAAAGTGCTTTCAAAAGGTAGTCAGCATTACACTGGAAGTGATGAGACTCTAGGAATTTGTTTTTTCGAGCCCACACTTCATTTTAGGTTAAAAGTTAAGCCATGAAGACTTAATCTCCCAAGAACACTGGGTCAGTAAAGGCAAAACTTGGTGCACTTTTTATCCTCGGGAGAGAAGATTCCTGGAGAACATGTCCTAGAGAACAACGTCTCAGATGTTACTCCAAAGGGGACCCGTCTCTTCCACATGGTCCCTTCTGACGGCTCCATCAATGTGGCTGAAGTTTAAGACAGAGCGAGGCAGCGAGTGCCCACGCCCGGGACCCTGTGCAGAGCAAACCTGCTCAGCGAAAGGCAGGATGGCAGAGACTCTGGGACCAGCTGCCTGAGTTCCAATTCTGACATGCTAGTTATGTCGGCCACACATTATCCCTTTGACCCTTGGTTTCCTTCTATATAAAACGAGGATAATAACTGGATCTGCTTCACAGGGTTTACAGGTTCATTAACTGAGTTAATCCACATAAAAGGCTTGGAATAGCACTGGGCACATGGCTTGCCCAGCAAGTGACAGCCAGTATTTTTTTTTGCTAAATGTTTCAGATACAGAATTACACTACTACTTCAAAATAGTACTTTTCCATTCTCATTTTATGTGAAAAGGTAGAGTAGAATTCTAGGAGTAATAATATCCTTTAGGGCTTTCCTGGTGGTTCAGATGGTAAAGAATGTGCCTGCAATGCGGGAGACCTGGGTTCAATCCCTGGGTCAGGAATATCCCCTGGAGAAGGGAATAGCAACTCACTTCAGTACTCTTGTCTGGAGAATCACACGGACAGAGAAGTCTGGCTGGCTACAGTCCATGGGGTTGTAAAGAGTCAGATACAACTGAGTGACTAACACTTTCACTATCCTTTACAAAGATATCACAGGAATGTTGACCAGTATCCTCTTCTTCTCTGGCCAGAGTTAAATCATTTTTTTAAGGATTACAAAATACACTGACTGTGTCTGATGATGATTTATATTTGATGACAATACAGTGCTCCTAAGGATCATCATTTTACCAGGCATGCTGTTAACATCTTTATGCGTGTAGCATTTATGAAAACTTGTCTTCCCTTTTCAACTAAAATGTTCCCTTTGACTTAGAAATAAAAAAATGAAATGTTTGAGAAAATATCCTTTAGGAAACAACTCAAATTTTCCTCCAATTTGGGATTCACAATAACTCTTTTCTTTACAAATACTTCTATTACTCTAAACAGGACTTCTATTTCAATCTCTTTTCCTCCCTCTGAAAATGTATTAGCAGTAGGAAAGATTCCTGAAGTGTCATTACAGAACCACAAAGTAAGGAACATTGCTTTAGAACTCTCTAGCAAACAGATCCTGACTGGAGAGGCCCTAGGCCAATGCTTATGTAATTTAAAAATTTCCAGGAGTCACATTAAAAAAATAAAGAGGAAATTCCTTGGTGGTCCAGTGATTAGGACTTGGCACTTCACTGCTGTGGCCTGGGTTCAATCCTTGGTTAGGGAACTAAGATCCCACAACCACATGGTGTGTCCAGATAAATAAATCATTTAAAAAAAAAAGTAAAAGGAAATAGTTGATCCTAATTTTATTTTTGCTTTGGGAGAGTAGAGGTATATTGGTTTGCCTTTTCATTTATAAAAACATTTGGGGGGTTTTCTGTTCCTTTACCATGATTCCTACATACAGTAATGACAGGGGATTGTTTAAACACCACATAATACTAATTTTAAACAAAGATATTTCATTTAACCCATGGTATCTGAAATGTTATCAACAAGTGATCAACCAAAAATTATTAAGGTGATATTTTAACATTCTTTTTTTTTTTTTCATATCATGTCTTCCCAGTCTGGTGTATATTTTCCACTTACAGCACATCTCAACTGGGACTAGTCCCATTTCGAGTGGCCAATGGCCACGTATGACTGATGGCTGTGATACCAGACAGCACATCCTTACAGGAGGATGATTCTGAGTTATCCTATGAGTGAGTAACACAAAACAGTCAGAAAATTAGAGAGAGAATAAACTGGAAAGAGAGGAGAGCAGAAAAGATGAATGACATGAAATATTAATTTACCTCTCTGTCCAAGGTAATACTGGTTGTGTAGATCTCTCCTGTATCTTTATTTAGGAAAAACACTGGAGAATTAGCAGGCTCCTGAGACACGATCCTATAGGAAATTTTAGAATTCAGAGTGTTGGGCTCATCTGCATCGGTTGCGGTGATTTTCATCACAAGTGTATCTGGAAGCAGAAATGAAGGGGTCCAAGATGAAACACAACTTTTAGCACACTTATGTATGTGATTTATTTTATTTATCACATCAGCTTGTTCCAGAAAGGATTTTAGGTATTTATCAAATTCAGTTTACTAAGATTAAAGAATTTAATTGTTTGGGGGTAAGTGTGAATGGAGGTAGGAATAGGAAAAATAAGATGAGAGTGAGGCTCAGGTTAGTATAATACAATTTTAAAGATGAAGTTCTGAACACGCTATAGGAGGCCCACAGATTTGCTGATCACATTTCTAATAGCCAATACAAAGAAAGAAAAATGAACAGATACATAGACATGCTTATTAAAATATAAGCAATTCAGGAGAAGCATAGCTATTCTTTACATTCTGATCAAAGAGAAATTTCTCCTGCAAGACCCAAACATAAAGCTGCATTTAACACTTGCATTGAAACCTGGAGGTAGAAATAATATGTCTAAGGTTAGCAAACTATGGACAGAGGGCCCAAGCCAGCCAGCCACCTGATTTTGTGAATGAAATTTTATTGGAATACAACCATACCTATTTGTTTACACAGTATCTACAGCTGCTTTCCTGACACCTGGTGAAACTGAAAAGTTGCTACACAGACCTAACCTATCATATCAATCTACCATATCTGTTTTGAGGGTAAAAAACTTACAACGAAAAATCAGTTCCAAACCTAGATCAATCAGTTTATTATTATTTTTCCTGTGGGTAATATTCACCCTCCACTAAGACAGAGGTTTCAGTGTTCAGTCACATGCTGGGGATACAATGATCTTGGGTACTCATTCATAAAAATAATGAACTCTTACTTGCTGCGCTCAGCTCTTCAACAGACCCAACAAAGACGTCCTGTGTGAACACTGGCTCGTTGTCATTTATGTCAAGAACTTTAATTCTGAGTTCTATTGGTTTCTCTAAGTTGTTTCCTCTTTCATCCAAAGCGTAACCAATTAGCTGAAATCATGACATACATAATAGAAGGAATTTAGGCTGAGATCATTCAAGTAGCATCATTTCAAAAAAAATAATAAAACATAACTATTACCCAAGAAAAGCTACAAATGCATGATGTAAAATTGTTCTTACCAGAAAAAATGGTGTTTCTTCTCGATCTAGAATGGTGGTAACGTTTAGTTCTCCGGTGTCTTTATTAAAGACAAACACGCCGAAGGGCGGCTCTGTGATCCCCTTTCCAGTGTATTTGTAGGTAATTTTTAGTTTTTTTTCTTCTGCAAGATCAGAGTGTATCTAACGTAAAAATAAGAGAGGAATGCTTCAAGTTAAACTCTAACTTACAGGTAATTGTTTTTAATTGAAAATTTTGCTCGGAAGCTATTGGCTGTTGAAAGGAGGAGGTGGGAGGACACAGATGATCCACAGCAGAGGTGCTGGTGTCAGAGAACCCGGGTCTAGTCGTGTCACAGCTACTTACTAGGTGTGATGCTAATGGCTATTTACCCTCCTACGCTTCAATGTTCTTACCTGTAACGTGAAGAGACACTTCTGCCTACCTCTTAGGGTTGTTAGGAAATTAAGGTATCATTAGGGGGGTACATCTCGGTGGGAGTGAATTTTAAATATAGGTAAGGTAAAATCTGTAGACTCAAAATCACCTTTATAACTTCGATCATCGCGAAGGCATGAGTAAGGCATCCTTTCACAGGAGGGTTAAGAGTCAAGCGCTCCTCCTACTTGAAATGCTCTTGCAGATCGGTGTTTCTAACCTGGGGGACTTCTGTAGTTAACACCTCTGTCCTCTAGAAAGAGCTCTATGTGTTTCTCTAACTTGTTTGTTTGCCGTTTCTGTTGTCTCTAATTCTTCATCGGTAAGTGTATCTCTGTCGCCCCCTACTGGATCCTCAATTTCTCTTTTCAGACATCACTGAAGCCATCACCCCACCTCTGCCCCGCCAGCTCTTCATCCTGAAATCTCAGAATTAGCTACACATGCTTCCCACAGGACTTCCAACATGCTCTGGGGCTGAGGGTGCTGCTGAGAATGAGATGCGGCTCCAACCTCCTGCCACACCTGCTCTGCTCCTGGAGGAATGGGGACCCTGGGGCAGTCCCGTGATCACTTCTCACTGAGCCTCTCTCTGTCTTTCCCTTTCTCTGTGTTTCTGTCTCTTCTTTTTCTTGCCAAGTACATGCATATACACACATAACCCATGTGTATGTGTATACACATACATCGGTATTTATAGAGAACATTCTAGATCTTTATGTGCTGACTATATATGTTATATAATTTCACTTATGTTAAAAATAAAATCAAACTGTGTATGGACCTAGCAGTTGGTTTTCATATACATATGTATGCACATAAGAGTACGTAGGTATATACATACTTATGTATTTCAAAAGATATACGAAGCTGTTGACAGTATGACAGTGTTACTTTTAGACAGAGAATCTATAAAGTTGGGGAAATACAACAGAATGTTTTGTTTTTTAGGTAAATTTTACTCTTAACAACTTTTATAATTAAAATGAGTAGGAAGAATAGCTAATGCCTACTGAACCCCAAAGAATCCATGTATTTTAGGGAAACCTACTGAAAGAATGAGTGAATGACTCAGATATTTCATCAAACCAGCAGTAACCAAACCAGAAAGCTTAACTGCTTGTATACAAACTATTATGTAAAGTCGAGGGCTTCACGGGAGGCTGAAACTGTAAAGAATCTGCTTGCAATGCAGGAAACCCGGGTTTGATCTCTGAGTGGGGAAGATCCCCTGGAGAAGGGAATGACTACCCACTCCAGCATTCTTGCCTGGGAAATCCTATGGACAGAGGAGCCTGACAGACTACTGTCCTTGCGGTCCCATAGAGTCGGACACGACTAAGTGACTTTCACTCACTTTATGTAAAGCCATAATCAAATGTTTAGATTTAAGAGGGCTTTTATCAAAATAATATATTGCTGGAAAAAGGAAAGTGTCTTCTGTTCCTGGCTGCTCTTTGTTAAAAGGAGCTTGTCGTGTGTGCTGTTTATAAGGTTGGAAAGATGAAGGTACCACTTGCCTATGAACACTTATTCATTCACACAAATGTTTACTGAGCACCTACAGGATGTTGGCTCTGCTCGGGGCACAGGGTGTGCATGAGCTGTGAGCCCTGAGGACCAAGCCCCTGCCCAGGGAGCCTACACTCTACTGAGGGAACCAGAGGACAAGCAAGCAACTTACGACGTAATGTCCTGGAGGTGAACGAGCTATAAACCAAGCTGAATGGAGTGAGGGGACTGAGATGGGGTGAGCCCAGGAAGGGAATTCTTGGCCAGAGGCTTTATGCTGTGAGATATTGCAAATACCTGTGGGGAGGGGGTTCCAAGCAGAGGGAACAGCAAGTGCTAAGGACCGATGCTGAAGCTCTAATACTTTGGCCACCTGATGAGAAGAGCTGACTCATTGGAAAAGACCCTGATGCTGGGCAAGATTGAGGGCAGGAGAAGGGGAAGACAGAGGATGAGATGGTTGGATGGCATCACCAACTCAATGGACACGAGTTTGAGCAAACTCTGGGAGACAGCGAAGGACAGGGAAGCCTGGAGTGTTGAAGTCCATGGGGTTGCCAAGAGTCTGACACGACTGAGCAACTGAACAACAAGAGTGGGAGGCTGGCATGGGCTTTGGGCTTGTGTCAGCCTAGGGAGGTGGCAGAGTGTGGCATGAGGGCTGATAGGAGCTGGGGTCAGAGAGGAGGTCAAGGTCAACAAATCCTAAGAGAGCTCTTGTTGGCCAAGGTGAGGAGTGTATTTCTTCCACTGCAGTGGGCAGCTGTTGAAAGGGCCTCAGGAAGGGGATGAAAATTTCAGTTCAGAAGATCACTTAGGCTGCTTTCTGGAGAATGGACTGTGGTGGGGGAGAGGCAGGAGAGAGTGAAGTCAGGGGGACCACGTCAGGGTGCTTTTGGTAACACAGGTCAGAGCTGACACTCACGGGAACAAGGAGGGTAGCAGTAGAGAGAAGTGGGCAGATTCGGAATCCACTTTTGGCACAGAACTGACAGAATCTGCTGCAGTTTTGAAAATACTGGACAAAATTATAGTACCATTTACTGAAATGGATAGAACGTGGGGAGAACAGCTTTTGGAAAAATCAAGGGTTCAGACTTTGCACATGCTAAGTCTGAGATACAAATGAATGGAACTACCATACAATTTATAGGGCATTTTGAGAGCTGAAAGCAGAGTTATTAATAATTAGGCCAGGACAATGGTTGTAAACCCAGACTGTTTCAGGCAAGATGTGTGGTCGTCCTACTGCAAGTTAGATATCAGTTCTTTTCATTTTGAAAACTATTTTCGTGGGTAGGGTGGCAAAATGTGTGACTCTGATATAAGAGTTGTTTCAAGCTGAAAGCAATTGAGAAGCAGCAGATACCAGAAAAACTCTCCGCCCTCCCCCTATCTGCCTAAGACTGTTGTGGTTTAGTCACTAAGTCACGTCTGACTCTTGCGACCTCATAGAATGCAGCCCGCCAGGCTCCTCTTTCCATAGGATTTCCCAGGTAAGAATCCTGGAGTGGGGTGCCGTGCCATTCTCCAAGGGATCTTCCCAACTCATGGATCGAACTCGCGTCTCTTACATCTCCTGCATTGGCAGGTGGGTTCCTTACCAGTGAGCCACCTGGGAAGCCCCGCTTGCCTAAGAGCAGGACATAAGTTTGTAAAGGTGCCTTTCCTACCCCTCTCTACAGGAAGGACAAAAAGGTTCATCACTGGAAGGGAGTTTAGATTCCTATCAGCCTGGAGACAGGACCAGAAGAATCTACAAAACAAACCTGACTGACTAGCTTTTTCTATTATTAGTTGCCCATCCATTTGCCTTCCCAGGTTGCTGCCCGTGGGGACTCAAGGTCTTTCTTGTCTGTCTTGTCATTTTTCTAAAAATTTATTGTCCTTCTACTAAGTAGCCTGCTGCTGCTGCTAAGTCACTTCAGTCGTGTCCGACTCTGTGCGACCCCACAGACGGCAGCCCCCCAGGCTCCGCTGTCCCTGGGATTCTCCAGGCAAGAACACTGGAGTGGGTTGCCATTTCCTTCTCCAATGGATCAAAGTGAAAAGTGAAAGTGAAATCGCTCAGTTGTATCTAACTCTTAGCGACCCCAGGGACTGCAGCCCATCAGGCTCCTCCATCCATGGGATTTTCCAGACAAGAGTACTGGAGTGGGTTGCCATTGCCTTCTCCAACTAAGTAGCTTATATAAACCCAAATCCTAACCAAACCTTTGATTTACTCATCTCTGGGTACTCCCACGTGTTACATGTGGGATAGACAAGTTTTAGGGGCTTCCCAGATCGCTCAATGGGTAAAGAATCTCCCTGTAATGTAGGAGACACAGGCGATGCGGTTCAATCTCTGGGTCTGGAAAATCCCCTGGAGGAGGGCATGGCAACCCACTCCAGTATTCTTGCCTGGAGACTCCCATGGACAGAGGAGCCTGGCGGGCTACAGTCCACTGGGCAGCAGAGTCAGACAGGATTGAAGTGACTGAGCACAGTGCACGTACAGACACGTTCCTAAGCTTGTTTTTCTCTTGTTAATTGTTTTTTGTCAGTCCAATTTACAGGGCTCCTGCCAGAGAACCTAGGTAGGTGCTAGGGAAAACAGATGATGGGATCTCCTTTTCAGCACTGTTAACACTCTGTTAAAAAGGGATTCAACTAGTGCCTGAGTCCACCCTTAGTTGAATCAAACAGTGCAAGTCACTCAGTTATGTCCAACTCTCTGAGACCCCATGGACTTCTCCATGGAATTCTCCAGGCCAGAATACTGGAGTGGGTAGCTGTTCCCTTCTCCAGGGGATCTTCCTAACCCAGGGATCGAACCCAGGTCTCCCTCATTGCAGGCAGATTCTTTATGAGGTGAGCTACCAGGGAAGCCCAAGAATACTGGAGTGGGTCACCTATACCTTCTGCAGCAGATCTTCCCAACCCAGGAATCAAACTGGGGTCTCCTGCATTGCAGATGGATTCTTTACCAGCTGAGCTACCAGGGAGGCCCAGTTGAATCAAAGAAAGCCCTCCGTTAAATACATGTTCACCACTAATGCTGCATCTTCTAGAATAGGAAAGTGGATCTTCAAGGTGACATCTAGAATATTAAAAAGTTCAGTGAATAAATATATCATGTGACATTCCTAAAATTTTACAGTGAACATGGATGATCTCAGACCACATTTCGTGCATGTACTTCCTTTTCCTCTTTAGATAGTACCTTGGCGATCGGATTCTTCCTGGACAGGTCCTCTCCCTCCCGGAGGGCCACAGGAGCAGTGATCCAGGCGCGCTTTTGTCTCACTGGGTGAGTGTGTTTAAGAAGCAGCTTGCTTTCATTTCTTGAGTGTAAGGCCTAAAGCAATAAAATGTTGCCAAAAAATTAGTAAAACATTAGTATGGAATCATAAAATGTACTAAAAGTTGAAAGAGAGCTGTGCAAATTCTAAGGTATAAATTATTTCATACTTTTTGATATGGCTTTAATATAGGCTTTGGATTTCCCAGGTGGTGCTAGTGGTAAAGAACCCACCTGCTAATGTAGGAGACATAAGAGAAACGGGTTCGATCCCTGGGTCAGGAAGATCCCCTGGAGGAGGGCATGGCAACCCACTCCAGTATTCTTGCCTGGAGAATCCCATGGACAGAGGAGCCTGGTAGGCTATAGTCCATATGGTTACAGAATTGGACATGACAAGCGACTTGCACTCACACACAGGTTTCATTTTCAAAGGGAAAATACATACACTGGGAACAAACACTATCTACCTGAAGAGCTTGTTTCCAAACCAGTAAAGCAGTTTTGTTTTGTTGTTTTTTTTATCAGTAAGGAAAGAGTTCCCAGAGGGAAGACTTAAAAAGGCGACAGCAATTTAGTGATCTTACAAATGGGCAAATTACAATTAACACAGCAAGTCAAGAAATGTTTCTAACTGAAAATAAAGTCTTATTTTTCTGTGGGGGCTTATAATTTAAAAATGAATTACTAATGCTTTAAGGCAAAATTATCAGTAACCTGTTGATATCAACTTAACTAAAACTAGTGAATGAGGTCAAAGGATTAAATGGCCCATCTCTGGTTTATCAAAAACTAGGCAGAAAACTAATCTATAAGTTTTCAGTTGGGCTTTAATAGATGAATATATATTTTATCCAAGGAAAATTTTAATGCAGCTGACCTAGTATTTTAAGATCAGAGATGATTTTTATACTAGGTTTACCATTTTACTCATTTTATTGCTCTATATAACTTGTATTTTATTTCAAAATATTTACACTGGTTATCACTAGGTCACTGATTTTTTTCCTTTGTTTTCAGTGGAAAAATTTTTCTATAACTAAAAAATTAATTATGTATCAAAACATTGGAATAATATTAAAGTTTATAATGCAAAAATGTAAAACGTCCTCCCAGTTTTTCACTCATACTTTGGAATATGCACTGTTAATGGCTTTGATATTTTCTTATGATCATACAGCTGCACATGTAAAAAGGTCTCCTTTTTTTTTTCCCATAAAAATGGAATTATATTAGGATGGCCAAAAAGTTCATTCAGGTGTTTTTCTGAAACAGCTTATGGAAAACCCCAAACAAACTTCATGGCCAGTCCAACACTATACATCACATTCTGTCCCTTGATTTTTCATTCAGTACCTCATCATGGACATCCTTCCATGTACCGTGAGTTGTTTTACCATTCTCTCACTGGTGGATATTTAGATTGTCAAAAATGCAGCATAATCGTCCCTGGGTAGAGGTCCCTGTGCATGTGGTTGAGTGGGAATGGCTGAGTCTGAGGTGACAGGATAGAGCTGTTGTTTAGTTGCTAAGTCATGTCTGACTCTTTGCAACCCCACAGACTGCAGCCCACCGCATAGACTGTCGAGTTGGTGATGGACAGGGAAGCCTAGTGTGCTGCAGTCCATGGGGTCGCAAAGGGTCAGACATGACTGAGCGACTGACCTGACCGAGACTGTAGCCCACCAGGCTCCTCTGTCCATGGGATTTCCCAGGCAAGAATACTGGAGTGGGTAGTCATTTCTTTCTCCAAGGCATCTTCCTGACCCAGGGATTAAACCCACATTTCCTTCTTGGTAGGCAAAAAATGACCCACCTGGGAATTTACCTGAAATCTACCTGAATCCACCTGAAATTTACAACTGATCCATCCACCTGGGAAGCCCCAGGGATAGAGTAGGATAACCAAAAGCTAGCTCAGAAATCCCATTAGGAGACTGTTAATAGAGAGGGATTTTTCCATTTACCACAGTAAATAAATAATCGCTCAAGCGAGTAATGGAAAAATCCCGAAAGAGTGTGGGCTTACTTAATTCATCAAGCTGAACAAGTCGCTTAGCATCGAAGCTAGATGGTTTTGCTTAACAACAAAACCAAGTTAACTTGCTTAACAACAAAACCATGTAACAGAATCAAGAGACATGTCCCCAAATAAACAAAAAAACAATAGTGGAAAATAAGACCTGAAACCTGCCCGGTGACATCAACAAGTTAATGACCCCTAAGACATACTCTCTGCAAACACAAAAAACAATAATTTATGGGAAGGTGACATTTCAAAGTGAAAGAGCCTCACTGTACCGAGACCTGATATAATTTTTCCAAAGTGCCATGAGGGATGCACCATATAGGGTCAATAACTCTACCACCCAACACACAGGAGTTAATGACAGAAGACTCAAAGAATGAAAAACAAGGTGATCTTTCCATCCCTTTTCTTCCTTTTATTTATAAAAATGTAACCCACTAAATATTTGGGGCAGCACAACATTTGACCACCTGCCTGGAAGCCTCACAATCATCCTATTCTGATACATTTCTTACCTATCACTATGCCTCTAACTGAATTCTTTCCTGTGCTAAGACGTAAAGGACTGCAGCTCCTTGGCACCCCCTCAAAACGCCACCTAGCGGTTTCAGTGGGAGTGTGTGCTTTCAATCTGGTAAAGGCACAACTGTCTTCTATAAACTTCAAGATAGGAATAACCCCCTTTGTTTCTTACCTCAAAATGGAGTCCATTTCCAAAGTCAAAGCAGATCTAGAAAATAAAAATTATTTGTTAATACAACAGTCAACTCAGCTTAAATATTTTGCTAATGAATAATCTACCACCTAGGATATTATAGACATTAAAAAAGGATGTGTGTGTTTAACCACCACTCTCCTCCTTTGCCAAAAGGAAACACATTTTAATTCTCCTGTTTGGTCTCCACCATGACCAGAGCCAGAGAGCAGAACCCAAATCCAGCTTCTTTTAGATGCCTACTGCCTCCCCCAGGAAACTCAAGAACACAGCTAACATCTGAAAAACAAAGACAAAAACTCTCATCTTGAAATCTTAGCCACTCCCTGATCCTTCTCTCCTTACCTGGTGGTTTTCACCTCACGTTCTCGGGGACCCACGCAGCTTTCCTCAAGGTCTTTAGTGTGAGATGCGCCCCCCTAGCCCTGCCCCCTACTCACTCCCATCATCCCCTGTAGGTCACACGTGACTGCCCATATTCAGACTTCATTCCTCACCACCCCCCCAGTCCCACTAGCTGTTTTCTTTGGTTCTCATCAAGAACTGTCACACTCGGGACTTCATCGCTATTCACAACTAAATACATCATCATTCACAATTAAATATACTTACATTTACGCTCAATCTGCACAACAAACTCCCATCTTGCCTTCTGACACCTGCTGCATTCTTTACAGTCCATTAATCTCTTGGCTTCACTCTTTTCTTGGCTTAATATAAACCAGCACTTCTAGTAGGGCAGCTTCATGCAGCTTGTTGCTGTTTAGTTAATAAGTCGGGTCTGACTCTTTTTCAACCCCATGGCTGTAGCCCATTGGGCTCCTCTGTCCATGGGATTTCCCAGGCAAGAATACTGGAGTGTGTTGCCATTTCCTTCTCTAGGGTGTATTCCCCATCCAGGGATCGAACCCGTGTCTCCTGCATTGGCAGGCGAATTCTTTACCGCTGAGACACTGGGGAAGCTAATTATTTTCAATTAATAATTCATTTGCCCGGTTGCCACATGAAGCAAGAGGCTTAAGAACACTTCCATCATTGCAGACAATTCTATTGGACAATGCTAGCACAAGACTGCAGCCATTCCAAAGTTGTTGTCTATGACTCAGGGATTCTCAGTCTCATGATCTTCTAGTATTCCGGTCTCACTTTTCCCCCCAACTCTGGAAGCCAAACTATGATTCTCTTTGACCCTGTATTGGCAACATTGCTGGGGAGGGCCAGAGGGGCTGAAGGGACCCATCACACATCCATGCTTCCTTCACAGTAGTGATGTTTGTTTCCAGGGTATGTTTACGTTTGTTCAGAAGAGTCCTGTTGTGCAGACATGCTGTCTGTGAGCATCTCTTTCATTCTCTAAAGTGTGCTCATTCAGACCATAAATTATACAGTCCCCTTATCTTTGCTTCTTGTATTGCATCCCTCACACTGACCACATTCCTGAGCCCAATCACTCTTAGGAAATAACCCCACATTTTATTTGACGGATTGTATCTCCGATTCCCCTTTCCTTCCCTTCTTTCCCCAAGGAAGAGCTGTCCTAATGCCTTTTCAAGGTTAACCATCATCTGTGGGCTTTATTTGCAACTTTTCCATTTACTCTCCCACATTAACCTTGTCAAGAACCTCGTTCCTTCCACTAATCTTTTACCTGGATTTGCTACTTCATTTGCTAATCAAACATGTTTATTTCCTTCCCGAATAGCGGCCAAATATACCATCTTAAAAATAATCAAAACTTTTGTTTCTGCTAACATTTAATCTACTGTTCCATATCCTGATTCCACTATAATTCCAAACTGAAATCTCTATTTATTGCCTTTACTTCCCCACCTGCTATTTATGTATTCTTTGTCATCTGTCTTAAATTTGGATTTTTCTCAGTCTTTCCTGCCTTTTTGCATGTGGCATCTCAGGTCACATGGATACATGAAGCCTTGATCGGTAAATCATGGAAAGCAGGGCTTTCCCTAAAATCCCTAAGTCTCTTTCGCTTATATCCTTTTGAAGCGTCTTGCAGGGTCTGTTCTACACGTCGATCTTTCATCTTCCTTTCTTTCCTCTACCTTGTAGTACGTGTTCTTGTTTCCACGATCTGGCAAAGAGATACTTAAGGATAGTGGCTGTTCAGCCTCTACTATGAGTTTCCCTTGCGCAGATGAACAACCATGGCTAATTTTCTATTTTCTAGTCAGAATATTATCTCTTCCTCATCCTGTTACTAGTTTACCAGCTAGCAATGGCTAGAGATATCTCTAACCAAAGTCGTGCTCCCCAAATTATGTACTTTCAAAGGTGGTATGATGTAACAAAAAAGGGAAAGCAATGCTGAATGGATTGCTCCTCTCTGCATGTTTCTCTCGTGGGTATTTTCGAAGGGAAAGAATAGGGATGAGATTCAGGATTCCTCATTGTCACATCATCAGGGGACATTGCCAAATCATCAGGGGACATTCTTAAAATGTGATATATTTTTTGCCCAGTCTCCTAACCATTGTTTTTTCCGTACAAACTCTCCTGAGGAGTTGGCTGGGTAATATATTCACAACTTTTACTCTTCCTTAGAATGTTACTGGGCCTAGCAAAGGTGTGATATTATATGTAATTTTAAGTAAATGTTATTATGACCAAGTATCTATTCCAGGATATAAGTAAAGGGGGGCAATTTATAGTCTTCAATCAAATGTAAACTCTTTATAAGGAGTGTACCTTTTCAAATGTTACTTGTTAAGAAACGTAGAAAACCACAAGACTATAAAGTGCTTCATAAGTTTTAACCTGTATTTTGTTCACTGGGGTTCTTGTTAAAATGATGATTTCATTTCAGTATGCCTGAATTTAAGCTTTACCCCTGGCATTTCTAACCAGCTCTCAGATGATGCCTAGTTGCAGGTTCTTGAGCCGCACTTTAAGTAGCAAAGTTGTATAAATGTGATATGCAACATCATTCATTCATTGAGGGATACAGACAACAAAGTTCACCTATTCATTATTATCTCAGTAGTTAACACAAGAAACTTTGTCACTCTTGATTGTTAAATTATCTTGAAAGCAGAGAATCATTTATTTCATGAATTTACTTATTTTTAACTGCTTAAAACGTTTAAATTGCAATTTACTCATCACTCTGTGAATGGAGAACTTCGGATATAGAACTTACAGATATGGAGTAAGATGCGCTATGACTGTATTTAGAAAAGCAGAGTTAACAGGACAATGAACATCCACATAACCAGTTTCAACAGCTGACTAGTATACACTTTGTTTTTTTCATTGCCCATTGCTTCTCAAGGGGTTTTATCCCATTTATATTTTACTGTTGTTACATGCTTTTGCAGCATTTGATTTTTGAGAATTTCTCTGAATTCTGTAATTGAAGTATTATCTGACATACAATATTGGTTTCCTCACACATTTCTTTTTAACTGAATTTTTAATTCAGGGGTATTTGTAGATTTACATAAATATTGTAAAGAGAATGCCAAGTGCCTTTACTCATTTCCCCCTAAAGTTAACAGTTTAAATAACTGTGGTACATTTGTGAAAACTAAGAGCTCAAAATTGGTACAGTTAACTAAATTCCATACTTCATTCAGACTTCAGTATTTCCTCCATTAATGCCCCATGTTGCATGAAGTTGCCATGCTTCCTTAATCTACTCTCGTCTGTAACCATGTATCCGACTTTCCTTGTTTGTGACCTTGAGAGCTTCCAGGACTACTGGCCAATTATCCCGCAGAGTATCTTCTTACTTGGATGTATCTGTTATTCTTCTGACATTCAGAGCTGGGTGGTGTGTTTTTGTAAAGAATACCAGAGTGGTGGTGAAGTGCCCTTTTCATCAGAGCATATCAGCGGTACACGAAACCCACGCGACAGGATTTGTTAAGGCAGTCTTTGTAGGTTTCTGCTCTGTAAAGCTGCTACTTTCCCTTACGTGCTGTATTCTTTGAAGTGAATCATTAAGTCAAGCTCACCTCAGAGTGGAGATGCTGAATGGGCATATGCCGGGAGGAGAGAGGTTAAGCTCTGCTTCAGAGGAGTGGGGCATCTATGCTTACTGTTTGGAATTCTTTTGTGAGAAAGATTTGTCTCTTCTCTCATTTACTAATTCAATCATTTTTATCAGTCTGGACTCATACATACTGATTTTACTCTGTGGGTTATAATCCAATACTATTTTATTTACTTTGTGTTCAAATAGCTGCAGCTGTGGCCACGGGAAGATCTTGGCGGTTAAATCCTATGTCCCTCTGACACATCCCTATGCTTTGGTTTTTGAACTTTCTTATTGTCTAGCATTACCAGATATTCCAGACCCATCTTGTATTCTCTCTGTCCCAGCTTTAGAATGAAGCATTTTCATCGAGAAGCCTTGATTTCTCATACTGAATGGTATTCAGAAGCCAAGATCTGGGTGTGTAGGTTCAGTACCTTACAATATTGTTTCCAGTCTCCTCGCCACTTTTTAGGAGAGGGAATAAAGATAGGGCTTTTCTTCTGAACTTTATTATTACTAGAGGCTGTTTTAATTATTTGGAGTAGCAAAAGGTTCATCTAAACCCAATTACCTCCCAAAGGCCCCACCTTCAAATGCTATCACATTGGAAGTTAGGGCTTCCGAATGTGAATTCAGGTGAGGACACAAACATCCTGTTCACAACGACGTGTAAGAGAATCAGCCAATGAGATATCAAGGAGCTTCCGGGAGGAAGATTCTTCCCTCTGATAAGATGAAAAGCAAATGCACAGCCTCTCTTTGTACCTGCTTCTGGAGACTGCTGAGCAAGGATGTGACATGTGGAATGGGAGGGCCACCTGTGACCGTGAGCAGAAAGCTTATAAGATGGCAGAGAAGCCAAACTGAAGGCAAAACCATCTTTGAGTTATAGGACCGCTCAAATATGGAACCAGCCCCTATCTCTGGGCCATTTCTTATGAGATAGTAAGTATTCTTTTTATTTAATCTTTTAGTTGGCTTTTGGTACTTAAATCTGAAAGCAGCCTAATAACATCTA